AGTTTGTGTGCGAGGACCACGGTGAGGGGCATGCACTCCTCCGTTTCATCCGTGGCGTAGCCGAACATCAGGCCCTGTTCACACCCAGGGAGCGCAGTTAGCCCCTTTCCTGGGAAGCTAGTAACGTTGTCACGATGCTAAAATGTTCAACTCGATACCGATACTCAGGAAAATACTCGATACTCGATACCATTTTCGATACCACAAGGATAAGACCCCCAAATTTAACTGAATTTTGACAGGTTAGTGTCTTTGGTTTCAAGCTGACCTGTTACTGATGTTATGGTGGTCCACATTAATGACCCTGACCCTAAACCTAACCCTAATCCTAACCCTGACCCTAACTCTCTAAAACTAACTCTAACCCTGACTAGTGTTGTCACGATACTAAAATTTTCAACTCGATACCGATACTCAGGAAAATACTCGATACTCGATACCATTTTAGATACCACAAGGATAAAAACAAAGACCCCCAAATTTAACTGAATTTTGACAGGTTAGTGTCTTTGGTTTAAAACTGACCTGTTACTGATGTTATTGTGACTGGTGGCCTGCATTAATGACCCTAACCCTGACCCTAACCCTAAACCTAACCCTGACCCTAACCCTAACCCTAACCCTGACCCTAACCCTTAAACCTAACCCTTCACCCTAATCCTAACCCTGACCCTGACCCTCCACCCTTCATAATTGTGAGAAATAAATATTTTTGGGTAAAAATTGTTTGGACTTATTGTACAAACCTATTTAACATCCACTATTTTAACATAATATTATGTATAGAGTTTTATTAAGTGTTTGAAAGATTGATTTCACAATTTTTAAATGAATCTCTATATTGCCATGAAGCAATTAGGATTTTCTTGCCTGGAACCTTCCTATTGGTGATGTAATTAAAATGGCTGACTTCATGTGGGCGGACTTGGATATGTACTTGATTAATGTTGGCGTGTTATTATTAGCCATTAGCCACAGCTAGCAGTTCAAGGCTAACGTCTTGTTAATGATCATAAACAACGTAAATAAATAC